TGCTCTATATGTGTAATATGAATTGGAATGCATTCTGCTGTCATATATATCAAATTAGAATTTAAATTAGTGCTATTATTTACTTACTTGGACTGTTCCCAGRWTTCAATGGGATAAATACACTGAATGCATTGTCTGWTTCACAAAGAATATTAGGTGRATRTTTATAAGGTTTATCAATTACTGAATGGTTTAGATATAAAATTTTTATAAATAGTAATTTCATTTCATACCATTGTAAGACTGATCATTATTGGTATATTTGTTTCATGGGAAATGAGTTGTTCAAGTTGTAGATGTTCTTTAATAAATCATTTGTGGCAACTAACTATAATCTATGACGCCACCTAGAAAAGGAAAACTTGATTGTCTAATTTAGATGGAAATTACTTAAACATTCACTCCACCAAACACAGATCAAATGATGATAGAATTAGATTGTGTGCCTTAAGAGAAGTCATACTTTTATCAGTAACAGTGTTTAAGCAAGGTTTGTTCAGACAGAGCATGTTGTCATCATGGATCTTCTTACTGAAGAACATAAAGTATTGACGTATTGAATCTGAGGTTATGATTCATTCAGCCACAGATTGGGTTTTGAACTTCTTGACTTCATACAATTTCTTTAGAAGCATCAATGTATATAATATGCCAAAGGTTGATAGGGAGWGGAAATAAAAATTCTTATATCATTTTAGATTTGGAATACTTGCATTCTTTCCTTTTTACTGACTTGGATTGGAATTTGAGGTGCATGGTCAGAATTTTAGGAAATAGATTTATTTTTAAAACCACAATCTCAAGTTCTAAATTAGAATAATACTAAACAAGATGATTTTTGAGAAAAAAAGTGGCCAGGAGTGACTTAGTGACCTACTTTGGTTCTGCATTGTCTAGTATCACTTAGGTTTATTAAATTTTAACTAGTTATTCTCCTCCATGTTTGAACCAATTTTTTCTTTGATAAATGATTAATGAATTCCAGGAAAGAAGAATATTTCTTAAATCCAATTTACTCCACTTGTAGGTTTGTTTCCTGAGAAAATAGCATACGTATTATTTAAGCCAACACAGTAATTTGATTTGTTKCACAAGTCAGTGGGTTTATTTATCAAAGTAATAATTTTTGAAATTCCCTATCATCCAACTGTGTACTGATTTGAAGATACATCTACTACTAATGGTCTTCCYGTAAATTGATAATTCCCTCTCTGAGTCCCTTGCCTGTTTTGCTTACCTCTGATCCAGAATATTTGCTGAATTTGAATTTGATTATGGAGAGTAAGTTCATCTGTGAAGATGACTCGTTTACCCAGTGATAAATGATATAGACCTTCAGGACTGATAGAGTCACTGATTTGGAGCGTATTCTTCATGCTAGATGTGTCATGCTGCAATTTAGTTCTTTGTGTTTTGTGCATCCATTCGTTTACTCCTTACAATGAGCTTTGAGGTAAATATGATCCTATGAAGGAGAAAAGAGAGTCATACAGAGGCTATATGACATAGGCAAGGTCACTGTGCCAGAACAGGAATTTAATCCCAAGGGGCCCAAGATCATGTGACCCAACACCTGAGCCTTCAGCTCAGCTTCAAACATGAAGCACTTAATTTAAATTGGTACAGAGACACGGGGTATTATAAGAATCGAAGTATTCACTGATGGGATAGGTTTTAGGAGCATTTATAGATTTTAAAAAGGTGTGTGTGTGTGTGTGTGTGTGTGTGCGCGCGCGCGCGTGTGTGTGTGTGTGTGTGTGTGTGTGATTACATGATCATGTATTTACATTTATCTATTGTCTGTCTCTTTCTGTGAGTTAAAGTTCACCATGATCTTTTACAGTCCTTCACAAATCTACATTTTTATTGCTTTATTATTAGTTAGTGTTTTCAGTTCAA